CGCTTCCCCATCCGTCCCAAGTCGCCGCGATTTACACAAAGGACACATTGCGAGACATAGACACTCAGCCAACATAGCTACCTAATCCTGAGCCTTTGTCCATGGTCCGCGGTAGAGACAAAGATTCAACAGCCGAAGCAACGTGTGAGAAAGAAAGCGCAGCGCCGGCCAAACAAGAAACCGATCAGGGACGGAATCACAGTAATAGTAACTACGACTAATAATCGCCAACATGGACTTGAGAAACGTCCTCAACGACAGCAGCAGCGGCCCTGTCGCTCCTCGCGCCGCCGTGTCAACGCCTGACCGACCACCGCCGCACCAGCAGCAGCAGCAGCAGCAGCCACCACACCCGCAGTACTCCCAACATCCTCCTCCTCCTCCCCAACATCCTCAACCACTGCTCCAGCGACAACAGTCGTATCATCTTCAGCAGCAGCAGCAACAACAACAACAGCAACAGCAACAGCAACACCACCCCGCATATCCCCAGCCGCCCACTACACCCGGTCAGGCACCACCACACCCACAACAGCACCAGCAGTCGTATATAGACTACAACCACCAGACACGGCCCTCGCCCGTTCGCCACATATCGCAAGACCCAAGCTACGGAACCCAGCGCATGCCCCCGGGCGCGTTCGCGTCTACTTCTCCGTTTTCCGGACCCCCTGTCCCCGGCCCGAACCCCTACGCGAACCGACCTCCGCCGCCGCCTCCGCTACAGCAAGTCTCGGCCCACGATCCCCGCTCGCCCAGCCTTGCATCCGGACCCGGCCCTTCGCCGTACCGTCACACGCCCACTTCGTCGATTAGCGCTCAGAGCGGCGGTTATCCCTTTCCTCCGTCGGCGCAGCACACGCCCACCAGCCCTGTGCAACGACCCTATAATCAATATCCTCCCAGCAGTACAGGAGCCGCATACCCCTCCAGGGAAGGCTATCCTCCAACACCGGGCGGCTCCGTGGGTGTCGCAGGCCCACAACAACAACAACAACCACCACCACCTCCACCACCAGGACCAGGACCAGGACCAGGACCAGGACCAGGAGGCGCTGGACGTGCCCCTTATTTGCAGGGCCCGCCAGTTAGAGTGCCCCAAACACCCCCGATTAGCACAGCGCACAACCCGCATTTCCAGCGATCGCACTCGACGCACTCGTCATCGACGCCAACACCAACGTCGGCGCACTCGCAGGGCCCGCCAGGACATTCACATTCGCATTCGCACCCCCAAGTGTACGGAGGTCCATTTGGCCGAGCAAGTCCTGTAACGGGGCCGCAGACGGGAGGAGGACCTCAGGGTGGCCAATTCCTCGTGGATCCCCAGCAGCGGCAGTCATCCCAACCAGGGACTCCAGTTGCGGGTCCAGGTGGTGGTGGTCCAGGGCCGCTAACAGGAGCTTCCACGGGCCCTGGAACAACAATTGGAACGGCACGTCCACTGCCGCCCCAGGCAACTGTTAGCCAGGCCCAGGCCCAAAACTTCAACCACTACCACAGCCAGCCGCCAAGCCCTTACCGGCAACAACGACTGCCTCCTTCAGGTTCCTCCTCTGCGACAACGCATCATCACCTCAACCTCAACTCTCCCCGGTCCTCTGCTCAACAGCACCAGCACCACCAACAAATTTCTTCTCCCCATTCCCACCACCCTGCCCCTCCACAACCGCCACCACCACCACCACCGCCGCCGCCGCCGCCGCCGCTGCCGCAACAGTCTCTGCCCCGACAACCCAGCGCACAAAGCATTTACGACGCCCGCGAACGTGAACGAGAAGTAATACGCGAAAGAAGCATCAGCATCAGTCCCAAAACCCGGGTCCCAAGTCTGCCAAGCAGTGCAGGTCGTCCTGCCACGGCTACCTCGGTCGTCTCGATTCCCGAGTCGGAACCTCCCCGCCTCAACAACCATACCGCCGCCACCCCAATGGCACGATACAGGGACGAGGTCCGCGACGGTGACCTTGGCCACAATGCCGCCGCCGCCGCCGTCAAGAGAAAACTCGACGACCGAGAATTGAGGCCAGACGAACTCGAGAGGCGAGACGTTCGTCCCCCACCATTCGACAACAGAGCCCGTCCGAGCCACACTCCCAACAAATCAGTCAAGAGGCGAGCATACGATGGCCCGCCTCCCTGGGCACAGCAGGCCACCCGCGGCACCACACTGAAGGAGCCCAACTTTGTCCTCTACAAGCCCGTCCACGCTCCAGGCCAAGGCCCCGTACAAATTAATGGCCATAGCCGTCATGCCTCGCCCGAAGAAAAGCGACCCGTGCCTCGAGCACATGAACCCACTCCCCGCGCGCACGAGATTCGACACAACGAACGATCCGCGACCCCGGGCACACAGGGTCCTCCTCCCGAAGCCCAGGCTAAGTGGGGCCCTCTTGGCCCATGGGAGCCCACTCTCACGGGTGACGTACCCCAGGACACCATGGCCAAAGTCATGGCCGACTTTTTCTTTCACTATATCGTATTGAACGAAAATATGGGCGAGATCCAAAGCCGAGGCATCCAGTTCGAGATCGAGGCCAAATTTGGAGAATTGATTGATCGTAACACCAACCAAAGGATCGACCTTGGAGTGCTGTCCCCTGCGATACTCAAAGAAGACGATTATGTCTATCCTTTCCGGAGCATCATGACCGAGGTAAGCCATGTCCCTGTCTTCTCTACTTGTATCCTACTAACCAATGCCTTCTTTGTTCAGGCACAACACCGATCCTATAACGAGTTTCTCAACCACCAGGTTGTCGTCTCCAAGAACCCCAAGTCCAACATTGGCCGTGAGCGTCCTCGGGTTCCCATATCGTATGAACACAAGTACGAAATCGACCGATTTTACGCGATACCTCCTCAGATCCGTGACAAGCACCTCCCCGTCACCGTCGCCAATCTTCTCGCATCCAAAGGGCGTGACGCCAAGGTCCGCGTTTCCTACAGAGAGAACAAGGACGGCAGCAGGGAGCAGATCGCCAAGATTGTCAAGGCCCGTCTAAAAGACCTCAGCATTCATTTTCCGGAACACCGGCTGGATTGCCGCATCAGCATCAACCTCGAAATGCCCTGGGAGGGCCCTCTTGAGGAGCTAGAGGCGTATGCGACCAGTGCCAACAAGGGACAGTCTCCGGACCGCCGTAAGAATCGACTGAGCTATGGCCATTGTAGCTATCAGTTCGATTTGACGCAGGTAGTGGAGACTGTTAACGTGAGTCGATCTACTGTCTTTGTTTTGGGTGTGAGACTAACCGAGCAATTACAGGGCCGAGACGAAAAGAAGCACGAACTGGAAATCGAACTCGACCCCAAGGCAGTCCTAGACCAAGGCCGTAGGGCAAGAGAGGGTCAGCCCAACCAGTACTTTGATTTGGTGGAAGGGTTCCTGAACAACATCAGGATCATGGCCAAGATGTGCGCCTAAACTGTGCCATTTTGTACTCATTTTTTGTTCCTTGACGCTACCGCACCCATGTACGCAGCAAATGTTGCCCTATCGCAGAGAAGGTTGGAGCGAGCTCCCCTTTGTTGCTCACACAATGGCGGTTCATTTCTTTCACTGTCAGGCAGGAATGTCACCTGGCCGCCGCTTCTGAGCCGTGGTGCAGTTCAATTTCAAGGACGCAAAGGAGATTATTGTGAACAGGGTTGACCAGACGTATGGCCTGGGCAGCCTTAGACTTTTTGGGAACTCTGCGGAAGCATGAATATCTAGAGGCAGAGGTCGAGACGGAAGGAAAGCATGTTATCATCATATGTGTTATATATGGGTGGGAAAATGTCACTTTAGCATTAGCTATGGAGTTTTGGTGGCCACTTCTGTTTTTCCCAGTTTACAGCCAGGTCGAGTGGACAACAAGTTATTGATTGGGAGTTTTCGGTTCCAGACGGTGAAAGAAACCTGTGAGGATGAACATGGATTGATATTGCAGAGCGCACGTTGGTTGTCTGTTTACCTCTCGAGACTTGTTTGAAGAGTAGGTTAGATACCTACTAGTAAGGCTCATTGGACGGGCGTGGTGGTATGGACGGAGCATTCATATTAATGGGGTTGAAGTATCGTTTGGTAGTATCTTCTGTTACACTGATCTGCCCGGCCAGAGTACCCTAACGAACTATCCGTCAGGAACAGAAGCAACGTACCGCCATTAACAAATGTTCATTTTGGGTTCACTTGTCGCTCACCTTCTTCACACGCTTATACGGTATCTGTTGTCACACTCAGTTACCTCTACAAAAAGACGAAGCCAGGCACAGGGAAAGTCTGGTCGGTAATAGGTACCTGGGGATGTTTGACACTCACGAAGGAACGTTAACCACAAGATGAGATTTCGGGTACCTACCTACCTACCTACCTACCTCTAGAATCCTTGGTGGCTTCCCATGTCTTGCTTTTGGAGCTTTGGAGCTTTGGAGCTGCCCGTATCCTCTTCTCCCCGAGGAAAGTCGTCTTCATTAGGTACACTTTTACTTGAAAGTTCAATTGATTCGCACAACTGAATCCCAGGGCACTTTCATCTGACTGACGCTTACTATCATTACACCGACGCATGTCCCAACGTGAGGTACCTACCTAGGTAGAGGTAGGTACAGCTGAGTTGTTCCAGTTTGCTGCATCGCTCGCTCGCTTTCTTCCTTGAATCCCGCGGTTCTTCTCCTAACAGTCCAACTTCCTTTCACACGCTGAATGGACTGTTCAAAGAAATTTGCGCATATCTTCTCTCTTATGCTTACTCCCAACTTTATATTCAAACTCGGTTCCGTCCAAGTTGAGTTCAGTCCCGTCCCGTCCAGTCCGGTTCAGTTCAGTTCACTTCAGTCCAGTCCCTTTCGATTAGGTCATTTCAATTCGCTTTCCTTTCCTTTCCTTTTCTTTTTCGAAAAGCTCATAGTCCCATAGCGTACCCTCCCAATCTTTTTTCCAGATGTACCTATGTGCAGGTCATATCAAGCAAAAAAAGAAAGAAAGAAAAAAAAAAAAAAAAAAAAAAAAAAACCTAGCGACAATGCCCAATTACACTCTCCTGGCCCAACCCCTTGCAACAATCCTTGAACAGCTGTCTGTTTTTGCGGTCGACGCCACAGATCTGTCCTCTGGTCAGACGGTATCCATTCCCCATGTCCAAGTGTTTCAGATATCCTTCTATGTTAAGGACTTGAGGTGGTATGAATTGGGGAACTGGGAAGGTAGGTACCTAGGGGAAGGGGGAGGGCAAGGCATGTAGGGTGTAAGGAAGGACACAAAAAAAACATACACTATTCATCGTCCTGTACCCCAATTGCTTACAGCAAAAGGCCGTTTGGCTGCGTAAAAGAGATCCGTCGGTGGAGAGCATGCAGATGCAATCGTCGGGGTTGAGGTACCATTCGCAGACTTGGGCGAGGGCGCCAGGGGCAGTCACGAGGAGGGTGAGTGGCCAGAGAGGGAAAAGTGTGGTGGTGAGTTTCATTTTTTAATTTTTATTTTTCTGGCTTTGCTTGATCAGGTGGCGCTCTTGTACTGTAGTGTTATGGTTTGGCTTCGTTGTTGTTTAGCAGTTGCTCGTGCGGGTTACGATGCCCTCCAAGGTGCAGTGGTTGGACAGACGGGAATACAACTATGATCAGTCGTGATGGATAGCAAGGTTTCATGGAGGTTATATGAATGGCGAAGAGGATTTATGCACCTAGGTGGTTGGGATTAAAGACTGGAGTCTTGTGTGTTGGACGGGATGTTCGTTATATGTTATTTATATCGATGGTATTTATCGGACAAAGGGACAAAACAGAACAGGAAGCAGACTATCAGTTGCACCACGGGTGAGCGATGACTGGAAGTAAGTATACCATTCCACTAATATTGTGGTAATACCACCGTTCATCGTCATAGCGTCACTTAACTACCATTCAGTGTTTATCCGCAATTTCAATATCGAGGGTATTGGAAGCGAGGATGGGTAGGCAGAGGTAGGTAACATCCCACTCGAGCTACCTCACACTTCCTGCCGAGTGGAGGTACCGTGTTCCCGAGTGGAAGGCAGGTCACTATTCCGTGTTTACCTATGTTTCTAGAACCCTGAACTTGACATCGCCAGGTCAAGTTACTTCCCCGTACGATCGGTGACACTGAGTAGTCCAGAAAGGCAGGTAGATGATGTAACAAGAATCATAAGTGAAAGGTCTAGAACCAGGTCTGTTGGATATCTGGTACTTGGCTCCTAGGTCAATGGATAGGTATCAATTTATTCCTGCTTGGCGGGTTGCCAATTCATGTTTGCATCAATAGCTTTCTGGTTGACATGTGAGAAAAAGGATTCATCGTAGCAATCCAGATCTTTTTCAATTAAATATCATGGTAGGTCACATAAGTATTCATGGGCCACTCTTGAAGACGGTCAACGGTAAAAGGTGGTATGCTTAGGTAGCTACACAAATAAGGGATCAAGCGAACGACTTACACGGTATCTAGGTATTACCTACATACAGGCTAATTTCCGCCTCTGCAGAAAGTAACCCAATATCCTGGTACGTGGGTTGTTTTTGATGTTCTTGTTTTGGAAGCCAGTTCGTGGAATCTCATCGACTCACTCACTCTTTGTGGAAACATGTGCGAGGGAAAACTACCTACCTTGCCTATCAGGTGATGGTAAAGAGTGGTCTGTCCAAACGTTGCTAAAAGGAACGAAGAAAATGTAGTATTAGCTTGTATAGGTATGATCAAGTAGGTAGCGTAGGTAGGTAAGTTACTGAGTGGTGGTGTATCTGTGTGTCTCGCGTGCTGGGTATCTTCAGAGTGTTTGCTCTGCCTGCCCTCTGGTCGTAACCTGAAATGTTCCTGTCGTCCGTCATAACCTGACTTTTTCGAATCCATTACCCCATTGTCCATTACCCCGTTCTTAACGACTCTCCATCATTACCTCTGTTTGTTCTCTAGAATTACTATCATCCACGGTTAAGTATCTACCATCCAGTACCCATTACTCCCGTCTATCACTCCCACATTTCCACATCCTACTTCCACTGGCTTCCTGTAACAGCCGGCTCAACCATATCAACCAGGAAGTTCTTGGCCTTTGCAGTCTTCACCATCAAGCTCGGCACCCCCCACCCCAGAATCTGTCCCACGCCTCCACCGGGGCCAATGGGCACCAACAGCGTTCCAGCCATCTTGTTCTTGAACGTCTTTTGCTTGAGGGCGGCAGGTAACTTGACACTACTAGTCTGGCTCTCACCACCTTCAGAATGGAGGATTTTGGTCGCAAGGTCAACCCCTATGCTAGAGCAGACAACGGGGACCTGGAAGTTGGTGGAGATGAGCGTGTTATCGCTTCCCGAGACGACGTCGCCTACAGCGTAGATGCCGTCCGCCTGATGATCGGTTTCCTCCGAACTGCCGCTGCCGCGCACACGGAAGAAGTCATCTTTGGTGATGACGCGCGAAGAAGCGTCGAGCCAGGTTTGGGGCAAGAAGCCGTCGGCGTTTCCTGAACCGCCCGTGGCGTCAATGTACAAGCCTACGGTGCGGGTGGTGCCGTCGCTGAGTTCCACCGTAGTTTCGGTCTGCTCTCCCCCTTCGATAACAGCATCGGAGGCGGAAACGACCTTGATGCCGTGCTTCACTTCCACCAAGGAGCCAAAGTTCTTCTTAAGGTATGCCTCTGCTTTGCGGCCCAAGCTCTCGTTACAGTTGCGATTGAGCAGGCGATCAGAGCCGGAAAGCAAGGTGATGGTGACACCCTCCGTTTTTCCCATGGCTTTTAGTAGAGTGGCAATCTCTCCAGTGGTTTCCACGCCCACTGGTCCGCCGCCTGCGATCAGGATGGAGTGATGCGGGTGCGTGCTGGCCTGCAAGTTCTTCAACTTGGTCCTGAGCCGTTCCCACTCGCGCTTGGTCGCATCTTCGGCCGCGTGTAACCCCTCCGTTCCCTGGCCGGGCATGGTCCACAGCGCCGAGCGCGCTTTGGTTCCCGTGGCGATAATCAGGACGTCATACCGGACCGCGGAGGTTCCTTCAGAGTCGGATGGTGAATTCGTGTCCACGTGCTTAATCGTAACCTCCTTCTTGGACGTGTCCACGGCGGTGGCATAGGCTTTCACTACGGTTGCCAGGTCGCCATATTGCTTCACAGCGTCGGACAAGTCCCTGAAGATCTGCTCCTCTCCTCCCGGCAAGAGGTCGGGGTGGATCAGCGCGCGAGGCGAGGCGGGCTTGAAGAAGAAGTGGCTGTTGGGGGTTATGAGGGTGATTTTGTATTGCGGCTGAGACGGAAGGCGCTGGAGGGCGGGGATGGTGTGTCGGGCGAGGGTGTGTAGCACGCCCAGGCCGGCGAGGTTGCCGCCGAGAATGACGATGGAGGTTGGGAGGGGTGTGGTGGGTGTGGTGGTGGTGGGAGCCGGGGCAGTAGTGGATTGCGGTTCTGGGACGGCATCCAAGGTTGACTGAGGTTCGGTGGACGCCATTTTGGGGTTGGGTGGTATGGCTGGATTATTGTTGGTCTGAATTGAATTGAAAAATGGTTTGTATGCCTGGTACTAGCTGGCAATCTGAGAGGTAGAGTAGAGGTGGTGACCTAAAACGCGAGACGGACGGTGAGGTCGCACGTGTGGTCGCGAAGAGGGAGGCCGGGGAATGGAGGGAGGAAGATCGGAAGATGCAAGAGGAAGTACAATAGCTTCCTGTTATCGCTCCCTTGCCTTCCAATGTTCCAATGGAAATGAGGTCCTCACCATGCCTGTAATCTCCGGCGTTCCAAGTCAACAAGAGGTCCCGCGCGCATGAGAGACCCGCAAATTGACATCAACCCAAGGGGACGCACCAATCACAGCACTGTTTCAGGCCCATCCACTAACAAATACCCCTAACCCATTGTGTCCAAAATAAGCTTAACGGGGTTTCCCCAACGTGAGCCGATCTCAGCCTTGATAAGCCCAGCTAACAAGATTTATTCACCACTTACTGTATTCTCAAGTGTGAGATTTGATGGGCTCGACCTCAGTCTTACATACCTAGATCTGGTATCATTACAAGAGACGGGATGGGAAGTCTAGATTATCCACCAATGTGTGTCTCCAACCATGACAGACGATCTCTTCGAGATTGGAAGTCAAGATATTATGTAGCTCAATACACCCTTAGGTGGTATCCCGACTTTCTACCTAGGCTACATGCAATTTAGCTAAATGAACATATTTAGTGGGCAGGCGTGTGGTGCATATAGAAGACAGTTACCCGTCAATGGGGCGTTGTCGACATACCCCAGATTTGCCATGTGGTATTGAAGGACCTCCGCCTGGGGTCTGGCTCGCCTCTTCGTTCGGTACTTGTGACAGAGTGCAATCCTCCGCTAGAAAGCGGCGAGGCAAGGGGGGAGAGCTCTACGGGAGTAAAGGCTGCGTTACTATGAGAGGATCGGATTTCTGTGCCGGTCGGGCAAATAGCTCCCCGTGTCTTTTGTACTGGTGTGTTAGTTCCTCGAAATGTGATATGAAAAAGTGATTCCAGATTCGTGACAAGGTTGAAGCTGAGCTGATCCCTCTTTCATAACAGTGTTTCGTAATAAACACTACCCTCCATTTCACCGGACTGTATCGAGCCAATCACGAACCTGCGCCGGATTTCGGGCCTGGTGAAGCCGTGCCTGCATTCGGAAGTATTGTTCCAAATGGCCATATCAGCCTGTTTTGACATTGAGATCACATGCCTGACGATCATCCGAATCGATTCCACGCACTTATCTCATCCATAGTGCCAAGAGGAATCTTTTCATGGCCATGTCCGACGGCCGCCTCAGCAAGCACTCGCTTGAGAGGAAATGCTCAGGGCTATGGTAGTAAGCCTCTTGCTATAGGAGAAAAAACTGCGGGGAAGGTTCCATAGCCACAGAGCTAGATGATTTCGAGACTCGGTAGATTGAACTCGGGGCTGTAGACAACGTTACTGTGCCAACGACGCAGATTACCTTTTTGGTCAAATGAGTATGTGGTCAAATGGGTATGGTTCGGGCAGGAAAAGTGCATCCGAAGGATCTCGCCCAGGACTACGGTAACTTTACCGTCTCCTAACTCGATGGCCTCGGCGGATGAAAAAAAAAAAAAAAAACCATATAAGACGGGAATGAGGTCGGAAACACTCGTCTCCCACCTCCACACCTCATCAAGCAGTCACCATGGTCCACCTTACCCCGGCCCTCTTGCTCGCCAGCGCGGCCTTTGCCGTTGCCGCCCCGGCTTCTCAAATCTTTGAGCGCCAATGTTCCGTGGCCGGCAACTACCCGACCGCAGCCGTCTCCAAGCTTCCCGACCCATTCACCACCGCAGGCGGACAAAAGATCACGACCAAAGCCGACTTTGACTGCCGCAAGGCCGAGATCTCCAAGATTCTCCAACAATACGAACTCGGCACCTACCCCGGCAAGCCCGACAAGGTCGAGGGCTCCCTCTCCGGCAACACCCTAACGGTGCGCATCACCGTAGGCAGCCAAACCGTATCCTTCACAGCCTCCATCAAGAAGCCCTCCTCGGGCAGCGGTCCCTTCCCAGCCATCATCGGCATCGGCGGCATCTCGATCCCGGTCCCCAGCACCGTAGCCACCATCACCTTCCCCAACGACGACTTCGCCCAGCAATCCGGCACTTCCTCACGCGGCAAGGGCAAGTTCTACACGCTGTTCGGCAGCTCGCACTCGGCCGGCGCCCTGACAGCCTGGGCATGGGGGGTAGACCGCCTCGTCGACGCACTTGAACAAGTCCAATCCACTTCAGGCATCGACCCAAAACGCCTCGGCGTCACAGGCTGCAGCCGCAACGGCAAGGGTGCTTTCGTGGCAGGTGCCCTCGTCGACCGCATCGCTCTCACCATCCCGCAGGAATCTGGGGCAGGCGGCGCAGCCTGCTGGCGCATTAGCGACTCGGAGAAGTCCGCGGGGAAGAATATCCAGACGGCGTCGCAGATCGTCACGGAAAACGTGTGGTTCTCGCCCGCTTTCAACGCGTACACGCGGCAGGTGACGAATATCCCTGCGGACCACCACATGCTGGCGGCGCTGACGGTGCCGAGGGGGCTGATTGCATTTGAAAACGATATCGACTGGTTGGGCCCCGTGTCGACGACGGCGTGCATGCAGGCGGGCCGGCTGATCTACAAGGCGTATGGGGTGCCGAATCACATGGGATTTTCGCTGGTCGGGGGACATGGTCATTGTCAGTTCCCGAGTAGTCAGCAGAGCGAGCTGACGAGCTATATTGATTATTTCTTGCTGAAGTCGGGGACGGCGCCGGGAGCGGTGGAGAGGAGCTCGGCCAAGGTGGATTTGAAGAGTTGGGCGCCGTGGGAGGTGCCGGCTTTGTCGTAGGGTGTCTCCCGTCGGCATGTACACACACAGATACATGCCCGACATGATATGCCAAGTCGGAAACGGGATGTCGTGACGCAGGTTGTTGGAAGGTCGGAATGTTCCGCTGACGTTTGCCGGTGTTTCGAGCCGTGATCGGCCCGCTGAGGAGAATTGCTTACAGTGGGCCTGGGAATAATCGGGGTTAACTGATCGGTGGAGAAAATGGGCGGTTACATTGGGTTGGTCTGTTAGTGAGTGAGTGTCCACGTTGCGTTACACCTATCGGGATATTCCCTTTTTCACCACATCTGGCAAACATTGTGAATCAAGATCCATCTTGCTATCTCCCTTGACCCCATCATGTTCCAGATTCAACCCTCCAAAAACAGTGTCACAAGGCCAAAACAACACTACACTAGGTAGCCCCGGGTATTGGCCATCAAATGTCTGTCAGCGATTCCCATCTGGCAACGGGAGGCAGACAAAGACATGCCCGGTAACCCAATCATGGCAGCCAAACGTGTGCCAAGTCAAAGTGGCTTCGGGAATAACCTCACCGGTGGTTCCTCTGGCGATCCGTGACACAGTCGACGTGGTGAAGCCTGTGAATCTCTCTTCGAGGTATGTAGTATCGTCATCTGACTCTATCAAAACGTCGACATTGATTACCAAGTAAAAGAACATTACTAAGTACAAGAGTCAACGAACGGCATCTCGGCCTCGGCCCTCAACAATAACAGACGGTGGATCTAGCTAAACCAGGTCGGACGGGTAACCATGTGGACAGCCAAGCCCAAACAGCCCAGTCCCAGCCTTACATATTACACTCCATACTGTGTATTTTCTCTGTTAGTGTCCACTAGTGATGATAGTGTCCAGTCAACCATGCAGCGTCAAGTTACATGGCGCCAAGCAGCCAAGTCCTTTGCCATATCAAAGTCTTGGCCTCGGGGAATGCCTGCAAGAGAGGCGTCGGTTCCTTCAGTGAAGACGAGAGAGAGGAAAGGATTTTCCCTTTGTTTCCGCTTTTATTGCCGGAATTCGGAGGGGGAGCCGCGATATCGCCATCTTGGATCCATCTTTTTTTCCTTTCTACAATTTTAATTCCATCTCTCTCGGACTGTTTGATCCTATGCCCTGGTCTGGGTTGACCGCCTTTGAAAAAAAAAAAAAAAAAAAAAAGTCTTCACTTTACTTATTTTCCTTCACCTCCTACATATGGAACGCTTCGACGGTTGACGTGTTTTTGTTGACGGTTCCCCTTTCTTTTCTTCTTCTCCTTCTTCTTCTTCTTGTTGGAGTCGGTAAAGGATTGTTGTGACAGCACATCCTGTCTCACTTGGTTGGAAAGAAACAAAAAGGTCGACCTGCCAAACACTCTCAACTCGACACAGCATCAACATCAACATCAGCATCAGCATCCATCATGGCAGATTCAACCCCCGGACACACGGCCCCGGACACAGCACCTCCCTCATGGCGCTCCGAAGACAACCAATCTCCCGTGCTCGCACCACACCCCGCCACCGTCCCGAGTACTACTTTACCACCACCATCCAAAAACACCCAATTACTAGACGCCAACACGGAAATCACCCATCTCTACCTAACCTTTGCCATCCTCCCTCCCTCCGCCAACACCACCCACCAATCCTCCGGTTCAACAACATCCCAAAATGACCCTCCCCCGCCTGCCCCCAACCTCAAACCCTTCACCAACCCCATCCTCTGGCCAACCTCCGTCAAAATCACCATGCTCACCCTGTCCTGCATCGCCACTTTCCTGACCGCCTACACCGCCGGCGCCTACTCCCCTCCTCAAAAACTCCTCCTCCAAGACCTCGCGCACGCACACAGCTCTACCGCCATCCTAGGAGGCATCTCCACTTTCTGTCTCGGCTTCGCTCTGGCCCCCATGTTCCTCGCGCCCTTTTCCGAAATGAACGGTCGCCAACCGGTGTTCGTCGCCGCCGGCATCATGTTTGTCATTTTCCAAGTGGTCTGCGGCGTAGTAGAAACCTTGGAGGGGATGCTGATTGCCCGATTCTTCCTTGGAGTTGGAGCATCGGTTTTCTCGACCATGGTCGGCGGGGTGATTGCGGATATTTGGCCTACAGCAGAAAGGAACACGCCCATGGCGCTGTTTAGTGGCGCCGTGTTGTGCGGCACGGGACTGGGGCCGTTGGTGAGTGCGTACATGACGGAGCGGTGGGGGACGGATGCAAATGGGAATATCGAGGAGGGGAACGGGGCCAAGTGGAAGTGGATCTTTTGGCATCAGGTTATTCTTGGCGGGGCGTTGATGGTGGCGCTGATGGTGTTTTTCAAGGAGAGTAGAGGGAGTGTCTTGTTGAGCAGGAAGGCCAAGGCGCTGAATCGGTGGTATGAGCAGTTGGAGGAAA